ATAGATATTTATATTATGTGTATATGTCACATTTTTGCAAGGTGTGTACTATATGCACAACTATGATACGAAGTATCACATATACATATGACCTATACATTGTATGTCTCATATACCGACGTCAGATTTCATCATTTTAATAATTATTTTTTACGTTACAAAAAACTCTTTAGAATCTTGAGTGCATACGGTATACAACTAGTAAACACTGTATCACACAATTATATCAATATAAACCTGCGTGTATCTCATATGTATATGTTAGAACTAGATGAACACTTAAGTTCACTTTAACATATTTTGTTTCTCATGTGTCTCCCTTGTAGAAACGTAATTTCATTTGGACGTGCTGTATGGGGATTAACCTTTCGAGTATTTTATAGCAAACACTCAGCAACGCGATGGGCCTATAGTCAGCGGCTAGCTTTCCTGTTTTACCCGGTTTCAATATGGCCACGATCATAGTCTTCTTGAAGGCTTTAGGTAAATTCCCGGATTCTAATATATCATTGAAGTATTTAGTAATCCACTTGACTGTAGCAGGGCCGCAGTGCATAACGAATTTAGGGACTATTCCATCCAGACCCGCTGCTTTCCCAGACTTCAGCTCCTTCAAAGCCAGAAGAGTATCTTCAGCTGTAAAAAGTATGGAGAATTCACTGTTCTTGTTTAATGTAGCCTTGTTTGCATAGAGCTGGTTTTTGATATACTTTGTGTGCTCCTTGTTGGTATTAGCGGGTCTTCTAGTAAGCTCAACTATTCTATGCGCGACCTTGTTTGGGTTTATAGGACAATCAGGTGTGGATGTTAGTTGTGGGCCAGAATTCAATCTGCCAAGAAGGGACCAAGCCCTTCTGCTAGAGTGTTGGAAATCCATACGTTCTACCAAGCCATTTCTCTCTTCTTGCAGTGTCTAAGCATTCCAACAATTCGTCTGCAACCTCTGAGTCGTGACTGTTGTTATAATCTTCGAAAAGTTCACAACATTCGGTGCTCCAGCCCGGAATATAATCTTTCCTATATCCTCTCGGAATATATTTTTTTGCTATGCTATTAATCAAACCAACAAATCTGGGATAGTTCTGCGAGACTGGAGGGATCCATTTAATGTTATGATCTAGCTCTAGTGTGAAACCCTTCCAGTCCACCTTGGAAAAGTTCCAGCGAGGTTTAGGAACAGATCGAATAATTGGAAATTGCAGACCCACACAGAGAAGTACAGGGCGGTGTTGACTCCGGGGAAAATATTCTAATACCTTTCTAGTACAGAGTAACGGTCTGCCTCTTTGGTCTTTTGATACAAAGCACAAGTCGGGGTTATAATCCTTATCCCACCTAGCCGAATGAAAGGTACCTCTCTCCTTGGCATCATGCACCAGAAACAAGTTTTCTGCCTCCGCCCAATCTGTCACCTTATCGCCATTGACATCTGTGTCATTGTAACCCCATGCAACGCTGTGACTGTTGAAGTAACCCATTACTACAGCTGGAGGCGATATATTCATGATGGAGATTTCATCAATCCAGGGCTGTGCCGGTGGTTTATATATATTAATCACTTCGGTTTCTCGAATTTTGATTTTAGTGGAGTACATTGTTGAGCCGGAGTGGACGTCTATTTTACAGACACTATCAATATTGTTTTTAGCATATGTTGCAGTGCCGTAATGCTGATGAAAGTTTGCAGCCACGAGAGTGAATCCCGACAACTTACACCTGGAAGAGAGCTGATCACCATTATCACAATGAGTCTCCTGTAGCAACAGAATGTCCGCAAGATTGTCATTGGCAAGTTTAATCAGATAATCGCTCTTAGCTCTGCTGATTCCTTCGACATTAATTTGTAAGATTCTTAGGACGTTGTTACAGTCCCGTGTCGATTGGCCCCTAGAAGGGCCGTTGTTTCTACTCTGAGATCTCATAACGTACTCTTTGCTTTGCTGGGAAATCCTCTAAGAGGTTCAGCAGCCAATGTGTAGACTATTTTGCCGTGAGGATATCACGTTGCCTGGGGTGCACCACGAGGAGGCTAGTCTACGTAGCACCCCCATGAATGTAATTTAAGTCCTTTTTATGAATTAAGTCTATATTTTTATTTAAATTATGATGATCTTTGAGTTAATATGACTTAAATCACATAAAATAACTACAAACACAAAAATACGTTTTTTAATAAAATTTAGCCGATTTGTAGTACTTATTAGCATCACAGTTTAGTTTGTCATCGAATACATATCTATTAAAAAGTTGTGATGTCTTTTGATCACTATGTAATATGTGGATGACATAAGCTAGGGGCTGGTTTTAAGGTACTCTTTAATACAGGGTGTCCCAGAAATAAGTGCAAGTATTTTAACTGGGTGTATAGTTCAACCCCAGTAACACACCTACGAGGTATTTTTCGCGAAAAAAACATTTTGAAAATTCGGAATTTTGTGAAAAAAAAATTGGATTTTTTTAGTTTTTAGTTAAAAAACATAATTTCTTGATAATATAGCAACATAGGTAGTAGATTAAATTTACAAGAAAGAAAATCCAGAAAAGATCAAGCGGTTCTCAAAATTTTAGCAAAAATTTTTTTTTTTTGTAATTTTCAAAGTAAAATATCTCCGTTATTTTGAACTTTGATTTGAAAAACGATAAGGAAAAAATATGTTTCTTTTATCGAGATGGTAGATCTCCCCTGAAAATACTTGCACTTATTTCTGGGACACCCTGTATATTCGAGATCAATTTCTTTCGTTCGTCTTTCGGGCTATATAACGGAATCGGGGATTCACTTGAAAGACAACAGACTCACTACGCACGTGAACACTACGAATAATTAAGACCGGTTCCGAAGAAGTAACATTTTATTTGCTAGTGGTATTGAGCATTGCTTTTTAAGTTTACAGTTTAATTAAAAAAATACGACGATGTTCGACTGCAGGATCTGCTAGTAAACATTTTTAAACTTAAAGTATCACAACACTATTTATTTAAACCAAAAACTCATAATAAAGAACTAAAGTGTCAAAACGAATGACAATGTCAGGAAATAAATAAATAAATGCGGCAACTTGACATTTTTACAGCAGTGCTACCACCTGAATCCCCAGCGCAAAATTTAAATTTCATTTAGGCTGAGAACATAGTGGAGCGACGAGGAGAGCGGCGAGCAAGCAGCACGACGTCGCGCGTCGCGTCGCGTCCAAAACAAACCTGTGAAGACAAGTACGCATGAACATAGTAAAGCGATCTGCTCGAGCGGCGAGATCGATTCAAGTTATTTTGTTTTCGTCGCTTTGTCGCGCTGTAGAAAACGATGGATTTCCAAAAATTAATAGATTTAGTGTTTGTAAGAGAGTTTTGATTGCACAAAAAGATAGTAATCACCATAACCGGTATATTTTAGATAAGTTATCTCTCCGGGTTTTTGACATTTCATGTTGTAGTGTACAAATTTCATGTACACTACATCTGTTCGTTTGTTGGTTTCGAATAAACCAAATGTTTGCGACACTACTGTCAAGAATTTTAGTTGCTGTTAACATTTTAAATAATAAATAATCATATGAAACTAATAAAATTGCAAGTACCTCGCTATTCCTCGCCGCTCTACTATGTTTTAGCACTTCGAGGCTCGATCGACGCAATATCGCGCTGCTTGCTCGCCGCTCTCCTCGTCGCGTCACTATGTTTTTAGCCTTAAGCTGGATTTATAAACTCGGGAGTTGAGGTTCAGTTGAGGTTCAGTTGCCGTTCAAAATGTTCAACGCTATGAAATGAACGCGCGCATTTATAAAGTCAGTTGGTCGAAAAGTTGGCAGTTCGTTTTACGTTCAGCGGAGTTCAAAGATGGTCAATGTTTATGTCGGCAGTTGCGGGCAGTTGGCGACGTTCGGCGACAGCCAATGAATAAGCGCCTGTCGATCACGTGAAGCACAGTACGCCGATGCATTGGAAAATGACCCTTATTGTTGTTTCATTATTTCTGTTAATGTGATGTTTATATTTTGCGTAATCGTGGATTACTGTGTTTGAACTTTGACAAATACCAGAAGTATTTTTAAATCGAAAGAAAAACGTTCGAAATTTTCACAATTCCAAACCTACCCTACAACCGAAACTGACAGTTTATAAATGCAAAAATATTGAACCTCAACTGCCGCGAACATCCAACTGCAACTGAACCTCAACTGAACGCCAACTTCCGAGTTTATAAATCCAGCTTTAGGCTAAGAACATAGTGAAGTGACGAGGATAGCGGCGAGCAAGCAGCGCGACATCGCATCCAAAACACAAACCTGTGAAGACAATTACGTGCGAACATAGTAAAGCGATCTGCTCGAGCGGTTAGATCGAGCGGCGAGATCGATTCGAATAATTTTGTTTTCGTCGCTCTGTCGCGCTGTAGAAAATGATAGATTGTCAAAAATTAATAGATTTAGTATTTGTAAGAGAGATTTTATGGGGATCAGAAAGATAGTAATCACCATAACCGGTACATTTTAGATAAGTTATGAGATGAAGTGGCAACAAATTTTCGTAAAGTTTATAAAACTTGCCATACTTTCTCGGGTTTTTGAAAACTTTATCCAACCAAATGTTTGCGACATTACTGCCCAGAATTTTAGCCACTGTTAACATTTTAAATTGTCAATAAGCAAATGAAAATAATAGATTTGTACAAGTATCTCGCTATTCCTCGCCGCTCTACTATGTTTTAGCACCTTGAGGCTTGTATCGCGCTGCTTGCTCGCCGCTATTCTCGCCGCTCCACTATGTTCTTAGCCTTGGCCAGCACGTCGCGCCGCGCCGCCGAATATATTACCATGGTTGGTAACACTTAATTTAAAAATCGCACCCTCGTTGACGTAATTAAAAGTTTATTTGATATGAACCGTAGCTATTTTACTCCGAATAGCACATGTTATTTTTTTCAAACGCCAGAAATAATTTTTTTCAACAATTTCAAACGTTCCAAATATATTATATTAATAAATATCTATTTTTTTCAGTCGATATGGTTTCCGTCGTGTAGACTCCTACTCAGGTCGACTGCGTGCCGGATCTACAGGGTGGTCATTTGTTTTCGATCCAGCAGGACGACTGTGTTACTACTGGTCCATGATCGTATCCCTAGCCTGTTTGTATAATCTTTGGGTCATTATCTACCGGTTTGCTTTCAGGGAAATTGACGGTAAGTTATTTAGACGCAAGCAGAATATACAGGGTAATTCACCTGATTCGACACGGAGTATTGTAGCTGCACGATTAGATTTTTAGAAATTGTGAGCGATGGGATCATCGGAGGACTACTAAAGCGACAATTTAAAATTATTGTCAAAGTTCAGAGTGTCCTAAATAAATAAAAAATATCAAAGTTGTATTTTTTAAATAGAACACCCTGTATATTATAAAAATTTTAATTTCTACGATTAAAATAAAGGTAAATTTGATTAAGTCTTACGTTTTTAAATATTTATGATTTTGTGAAAATGCAGTAACAATAATTGTAATGCTTTATTTCTCTAAGCGTATTTAAGTTTTTAAAACCAAATATTGTACTGAAGTTTTTTTTTACTAAATGTTGTGTTGCAATAATAAAAATTTTACCACCTTATACAGAGTGTCTAAATATTTATGTTAAATAAATATTAGCTTTAAACGGCAATAACTTGTTTAATTTAAATGGAACACAAATGCACAATTTAATTGTCTATGAAATTGTATTATACAATTTTTACCTATCTTTTCAAGTTTTCGTAGAAAATTCATTTTTTTGTAATTTAGACCTCATTTATCAATATACCCATGGAATATTGACATTCTAGATTTTTTTTAAAGCAACAATTGTAAAAAATGTACACGTACTAAAACCTATTTGGTTACGAAAAGAAAATTATTTAAATCTTTATAAAAGAGTATACCAATTAAATATAGCACCATTATTTCCGCCCAAATATTAATTAATTATATACTTAATTGTGTTATTATACCGTATGATCGAATAAAAACGATGGCTATGAAATGAATATCTCTGTCATTTTATATGTAAAATTATATGGGAAACATGATTGATCGTCATTTCCAAGCCAACTGGACGTCGTCTTTTATCATACGGTATATTATTCTAAATAAATGTGGGTTTCAATCAAAAATCAACTCATTATTATAAAGTTATGAACGTGAATATCTCTCTGTTATTATAAATAAGCATTCGTCAAAAAATTAAATAAAATTTATAAGCTGTCACTTTTTACCACACTGTCTGAGACACACAAAATTCAGTTTTTTTTAGTATTTAAAGCGATTACCAATCAACGCAAACAATGAATTAATGTAGTTTGAATACTGGGATCATATTAATTGGTTCGCTTTTACAAATATACAGGGTGAGTATTAAATAAGTGCAAATATTTTCTGGAGTGGTATATTCCGACCCCAGAAACACGTTCTATGAGGTTTTTTCGCAAAAGAAGATGTTGAAAATCTTGTATTTTCTTTTCCCTCTATATTTTTCGAAAACTTTTTAGAACTGCCTGTTCACTGCAAATTTTCCCACGGTATAATTTCTTAATCTCTGATAATACCATAGTTACGGCTTTACTCAATAGTTACGGCAGTAAAAGGGATGCAAATACAGAAAAAATCCGGTGGCTCTCAAAATTTAAAAAGAAAAATCAATTTTTTTTAAATGTTCAAACTTAAATTACTCTTTTCTTTTATCGAGATCTACCAGCCCTGAAAATATTTGCACTTATTTAAGACTCACCCTGTATAAACAGTTTTTTTTTTACTTTTTAATAAAATAAGCTGTCGATATAGTTCCGACAATATTGGTATCTGTACTCTTTGAAAATTTTTTACTATCTCAAAAATAATCTAAAATGTCAATATTCCATGGGTATATATTGATAAATGAAGTCTAAATTATAAGAAAATGCATTTTCTACGAAAACTTGAAGAGATAGGCAAAAAATGGTGGGATACATTTTGATAGACAATTAAATTGTGTATCTGATTCTCGTAAAATATACAGGGTATACCATTTAAATTAAACAAGTTATTGCCGTTTAATGCTAGTAATTATAAAAAAGAAAATTTTAGACACTCTGTATAAAGTATTTATCTTTATTTTAATATTTGAGCAGAAACTAAAAATGTCAAAATATACAGGGTATCTTGTAAAAATATTTTTAAATCGTAGCTCTAATAGTCCTTCAACGAAACCAAAACAAGCCAAAAAAAATCATTTGGCTACCATGTCAAATGAGGTGAATAACCCTGTATACCATTCGGACCAAAAGTTTTATTCCAATTCCAGTTTTATACCCACTAAAACTAGAAGCAAACTTGCGTAAAGATTATTTTCATTCTTTTACGATTCGACCTCAATAGCAGAGAAGAAAACTCGAGAAGTAAGTGTTATTACGTGTCTCTATTATATAGCCACGCTAAAGTGGAGAGTCTGCTAGCTGGGACGGCTGACTAAATAGCAAAATAGAAAATAAGAGCCCCCATAGGAAACCGCAATAGAGCCTCAAGTGCCTAGGACCTCGGTTGCCATACATTAACCATCTAAAAATAACTTTAGGATGGCAAACATTGTGGCACAAACTTTAATAACTGTAGAGAAGAAGACATAAAAATGAAAAAGCTATACTTTTTATTGCTAAATTATTAGTTTATTTCATTATGCCGTATGATCGAAAATAAAGAACGGCGTTAGCGATGGCTATGAAATTAAGATTGCTGTCATTTTATATGGTTTGGTTAAGTTATGGTTTGGTTAAGTTATGGTTTGGTTATTTCCCAGCCAACTGGACGCCGCCGCCGTTTTTTTCGATCAGACGCTGTATTTTTAGATAAAACTTCTGCTATTTACTAATTAGAAGGCGTAAGTTATGAAATATAGGCCATTATATTCTTGGGAGCATACTAATAGATATACAGGGTGGTCCGAATTGTATTCTAAAATTATCTATTACTAAAAGTAAGTAAAAAGTTCGTATAAATTTATCTTCTCCAAAAATGCTTCTTTTCGGAGATACAGGGTGTAGAAGTTACATTTTTATTTCAATTTTTTCTAAATGATTTCTGAACTAATGTCAATATTTGGATGAAAAATGGTGTCTGGAAGTTTTTTGACATGACAAATTTGATTTCGATGTCAATATAACTCATACTTGTAGGGGGTGACACCTACTCGTTTTTTAACTGTTTTGAAGTGTAGTAACTTTTTGTTCAACAAGTAAAAAGAAAATTGTTTTGCCTGTCGTAAAGGGGAGAACCAAGCTCCACTCCCACAACCGGTTTCTGGGCCTACCCTTTCTTTTTATTTTTATTTTTTTTCTGTACTTTCGATTTTTCGAAATTAGAAAAAATACACAGCTAAAGGCAAGAAAATATTATTTAATAATATACACTAAAGCTGTAAGAATTTTGTTTATTTCATATATATTTGAGCGGGCCGAAAAACGCTCTTTACCATCTTTTAACGGGAGATACACTAATATCTCACCGACACTTTACGACATCGTCTGTAATCGTTGAAAAGGTTTTGCTTGCCGTATCGGTGAGAACCAGCCCCTGGACAGTCCACCTGATGAAGGGTAGGCCCAGAAACCGGCTGTGGGAGTGGAGCTTGGTTCCCCCCTTTACGACAGGCAAAACAATTTTCTTTTTACTTTTTATTTTTTTTTTTCTCTCCTTTCGATTTTTCGAAATTAGAAAAAATACACAGCAAAGGCAAGAAAATATTATTTAATAATATACACTAAAGCTGTAAGAATTTTGTTTATTTCATATATATTTGAGTGGGCCGAAAAACGCTCTTTACCATCTTTTGACGGGAGATCATTAATATCTCACCGACACTTTACGACATCGTCTGTTAATATTGAAAAAGTTTTGCTTGCCGTATCGGTGAGAACCAGCCTCTGGACAGTCCACCTGATGAAGGGCAGGCCCATGCAGAAACCGGTTGTGGGAGTAGAGCTTGGTTCCCCCCTTTACGACAGGCAAAACAATTTTCTTTTTACTTTTTATTTGTTTCTCTCCTTTCGATTTTTCGAAATTAGAAAAAATACACAGCTAAAGACAAGAAAATATTATTTACTAATATACACATGATATACACTAAAGCTGTAAGAATTTTGTTCATTTCATATAAAATAAATATTTTGAGTAGATAGTTATTTGACTGAAATAATAAATTTGGGAACTTTTTATTTTTTAAAATTAATCATAAATTTCTCTTCGGAAAAGTAATGATAAAACCGTTTTTGTTGAACATTTGATCCAAAAAAAAATATTATTTCAGTCTAATAACTATTTAGTTAACATTTTTATGTCAATGATTACAGGTATTGATAATTTCAATTCTAAATATTTCGAGAACCATTACTCGTAGCGATCTTTCCCAAGATCTTTTCTAAAAAGAAAATGTATATTTTTATATTATTCATTTTTATTATTATTTATTTATTTATATATCTAGTTTTATACAGGTACGGACGAAAAGTTATTACTCTTAAAAACCAGTTGAAAATATGTAAGTCCCTCTGCAAGTAGGTATCGTATTAGTATTAAAATCAATTTACCATGTGAAAAAACCTCCCAGACTCCAAATTTTTTATATAATTATTGTAAATATTGACGTTAGTTCAGAAATTATTTGGAAAAAATCGAAATAAAATGAAATTTGTACACCCTGTATCTCCGAGAAACTAGGCACTTTAGGACATACATTTATACGAAAATTTTGACTTATTTTTAACCTTTCAAAAGCTGTAACTTCTTTGGGAAGGATTTTAGGGCATATGTTCTATGTTTATAGGAACTTTTTGTTTTATTTTTATGCGTAGAATCATCCACTGATGATAGATACACTTTTTTTTGACACCTTGTATAATAAGTTATTAAAAATGATTAATTAAAACGACAAAACCTACATGCCAATATATTCAACAAAAAAAATAAAAAAAAACGAAAAAAATCAATTTACCTATTTGTGATGTTGCCTATTCACCGACACAAAATAATCGGATTACTTTCCCAATACTGTCAAAACTAGTAAAAACGCACCCAAAAAGCAATTCTAATTACGCAAAATCCGAGATTTAATTTTAAATCCTGCCCTGATCCTATATTGGGCCATGTTTACTAGATTTTTTTTTAAATTATCTGAGAGGATAAAAAGTAGACTTTTAAATGCATTATTCAGCCTTTCTGATTTATGCAATAAAAGCATAGTTTTATTAAGCATTAGTTGTAAAAAGTTGAAAAAGTGTCCTTTTTGGGGCTATTTTTTACAAATGGTCAAGGCTCTTAGGAAAACTGTAAAGAAACTTTTAAAATTTCAATATTTGTAGGAAATTTTATGTAGATTTAGAATATACAGGTCATTTGGATAAATTTTTTCAAAAAATTTGCATAAAGGCATTTGCTTCATCTGTCTAAATTCTGTTCAGCATTACAGTGGTGCCGCTTTATACTAAAGTGATATCATTTTTGTTACTTTAAATGGAACACCCGGTATATTATTATATTTTTCGAAACTACTTTCATATCTCATAACTTTTCTATTAAGCTAACCTATACCTATCTCTAATAGTTTTCGAGATAAAAAATAAAACATGTGTAATATTGACAATGCCAAACCAAACCAAACTAATGCTTGACAATCCCCACAAGAAATGGCACATGTTTTTTGAAATACCCTGTATACATAATACCTTTGTCAGATCAAATTATTAAGGAAAAACTTTAGCATAGAATACTACAACAGGAAAACGAAATAATATAAGGAAACATTTGCTTTACCTTTAATAACGTTCTTTGTCACAATGACCAAAACTCAAAAACCAAAATAACATCAGTGCGTCCCGAACGGTAGTATAAAAGCAATTACCTAACACCTATCATCTCTGTTCATTATCTGATTTCCTTCTCTCTAGTTTGCGAATAATATTTTAAAAACCAATAATTATTTATGTATACAGAGTGTCTTAAAATTGAAAGTATTGAATTTAAAGAAATAGGTTTTTTTCAAACGTCACAAATTCAATTTTTTCTTTGTTCTAGCAAGCACGATAATAATGTGGTTCTGTCTGGACTACTTTGCCGATTTTTTATACCTGATGGACATCCTAGTCCATTTCAGAACTGGATACCTGGAAGATGGCGTGCTCCAGACTGACGCAGCCAAACTGAGGCAGCACTACATGAACTCCACTACGTTCTACATCGACTTACTGTGCCTGTTACCACTGGATTTTTTGTACTTGTCCATTGGGTTCAATTCGATATTAAGGTTGTTTAGATTGGTAAGTTTACAAAGAATATAACTTGTAATGAACCGTATACTGGAGTCGGCAAGGTTTATGTTTGTGTTGAGATTTATGTATGTAATAAGAGTATACTCCATAGTATACTCAGTTTTTTTTTCTTAAAAAAAGTTTCTAATATTTTTTAAGTTAACTATGGATGGGTTTATTCCGGGTGTTGCATCGTCGGACGGGACATAGGAAATTCCATGTAAATTTTAATGGGGTCAATTATTGGCTTCCCTAATTATTTTAGAGAATAATTCTATTTAGGTTTATTGAAGAGCACTAAAACCCACATTCAAAAGAATAACTTTAGATTGATTAGCTCGTTTACGAGTTATCGCCGATTTATTTTTAAATATTTCTCCTTTCTTATGGCCCTGTATTTACTTATGAGCACCAGTCAAGGTAAAAGATAACTGTCAAATGAAGTTGTCATTTCAGAAATTTACCTATTTAGTGCTTTATTATTATTGAAAACTCATTCCTACATCGGAAATCTTAAAGATGTATTTATAAATACAAATTAATATGAATTAAAGTAAAATAAAGTAACCAATTACAAGGTTAATTATAGTATTATTACAATATTCAATAACTTATTAATTTAGGTACTATTAAATTGTTAGAACTTTAGGATTTAAGATGTTCAAATATTCCTCCATCGATTGCTCGACAATAACCCAGGCGATCATAAAATTGTCTTCTTACATTCGCTAGTTGGTAAACTGAAATTCTATTGCATTCGGCAGAAATAGCATTTTTTAACTCGTCTAGATTTGGGTATTTTTTATCCTTGTATATCCTGTTTTTTAAATGGCCCCAGAGAAAAAAATAATTTGGCAAAATATCAGGAGACCTTGCTGGCCAATTTACTGTATGATTTAGGCCAATAACGTTTCCGTAAAAAACTATTGTCTAAATATTCCCGAACAGCCAGGGTACTATGTGCCGGGCAGCCATCCATTTGGTACCAAACTTCCTGATTTTCCCTAGCGGCAGCATGTAAAGCAGGTAAAATATAATTTTCGAGTAGTTCCAAATAATATTCTGCATTTAAATTTCGCGTAAGAAATAATGGCCCGATAATATTGTGTCCGAATATCCCTGCCCAAACATTTACTTTCTGTGGATATTGCGTCCTTGTTTCGACAAACCTGTGTTGGTTTTCTTTGTTCCATTATCGATTCATATATTCCGTCTTATCTAAGTTTACTTCCAATCCCCATTTGCTGGGGATGGCTCCAGCAAATGGGGACAATAGCGACTTTAGTTTCTTTGCATAATTCCAGGCATTCTTTGACCAATTTCGAATTGATGGTTACTGAGTTGATCGCTCTTAAGGCTTCTTGACTATCGGATAAGATTTCAATATATCTAATTGTTAATTTTAATATTTTTAGTTAATTGTTTATGTTTTTTTTTAATTTCCAGATAAAATTGTACAGATTTTGGGCCTTCATGGACAGAACAGAAAGGCATACGAACTATCCAAACTTTGTTAGGTCCTCGTACTTAATTCACACTCTCTTGGTTGTGTTCCATTGGAATGGATGCGTGTTCCACTTGGTGCTGAAACATGACGGATTCGGCAGTAAAAACTGGGTATACAGTGATTCCGGATCAAATGAAGGTAAGACAGACTACAGTTCTAGCTATATACGAAGAAGGAGAAAATCTAAAATTCATATTTTTATTGTTATTTGTATGATTTCAGATCAGGACCATGTAAAGTCATACCTCCAGAGTTATTATTGGTGCACTTTAGCTCTAACTACAATCGGAGATCTTCCTAGACCGAGAAGTAAACCTGAATACTTATTTGTGATATTTCAGGTGAGTTTAGTTTTATTATTGTTACAGTAAATAACAACAAATTTATTTTCTTTTAAAACGAACATACTGTTAAAATATATTATTTTAACAGTACCCCCATAACTCTGTTTAACCCATAACTCTGTTAACCCCCATAACTCTTAAAATATATTATTTTGTGCGTAGGTACATACAAAATCAAAAAAAACTCTGTTATTCAATTGTGTTTTGGAGATTTATAAGAATAATTTGCTGTAAATTTTCTATTCTTGTTTCCGTTTCCAGAGATGCGCTTAACATATGATTTTCTGTCTTGCTTTTGCATTCCAAAAATAGTTTATATTTCATATTCCTGTTATGTCTTCAACAAAAGTTGGAGATATTGATATAAAACTTAAAAATTAAAAATAATGAATAAAAACATGACCGCAAACAATAAAAAAAATCATTAACATTTATTACATTTTTTCTTATTCTTCAATTCTCTTTATTGCGAAAGAAATTAAACCACTGACTTTTATTTTGCATCCCCAGCAGACCAGAAAATAAAATAAAAATAAAGTGAATCGTTAGCTTTAAATCGTTTAAACCTCGGTATTTTAACGGGCGACATGACAACACTGCTGATGGGGAACGTTGCGGAGTTGAAACTCCGCATTGGGGGCGCACAAACAGTGGGCGGCTCTTTGGGGGGGGGCCGGAAGATTTATTTACCCCCTCGTTTTAGGTCTCTATTTGGTGAATGGCGCGTGTATCAAGACACACGGCAAGAATGGACAAATGCCACTTGTCATTTTTTTTATTTTAGTGTCTACTACATAGTACAGAAAAATTCTTTATTTCCCTTTGTTTTTTTAGGATACTTGTACAGGGTGGTCGAAATTGGTCTGTTTTAACAGCGAAAACCTATTTCCTGACTAGATAGAGCTTAACCGACATCATAGACTAATGTCACGTACTAGAGATAGATTGGACACTGATATAAAACAAATGGGTCCGTCATTTAGAGCCACCTGGTGATCCGGAAGAAACTAATGGAGAGTTTTGGCATAACATAATTTTAGCGTTCCGTTACTTATTAACGCTATTATAAACGGTAACGTTATTCATTTAAAATTATTCCTTCCAAAAATATAAAATAATAAATATTTTGTTTTAATCCTCTTCGAAATATTTTATGTTTTATTAGATCATTCGCCACTTTTAACTAGTAGGCTTTGGACCCCTTATTGATGATATACCTCTAATGGAACTCGAAAAACATATTTTCCAGCAAGACGACGCACCGGCTCTGAACGCTGAAGTTATTAGCAAATTTTTGCAGCCAATTTCAAGAATATTTGAATAGCTAACCAAGATCCCAGCCGTTGGCCGTCGAGGCCGCCTGACTTAGTGCCCATGGATCTAATCCTATGGATATATTTGCTGAAGAATAAAGGTTCCTTATAGAATTAGAAATACTTAGCAGTTATGAGAGGGTACCTTTCACCCCCACTGAGTTAATGAATTTTGCGAGAAATGTTCAAAAAAACTGCCCCGTCTGTCCATAACAGAAGACGGTCGATATGTTGAACACCTATAGCAAAATCTCATGTCTTGGTTTGCTATTTATTTTTAATGTTATTAAATATAGTTTAAATGTGTTGATGTTGGTGTAAATATGTTTAAAACAAAATTAAAATTCTGCAAATACGTAGCAAATATTTAAACACCAACTATAGATGCACATAGCGTCTATTTTTTTTGCATTTTAGCCAACTAAATTATAATATAGTAAAATATTAGAGCGGGCGAATTAACTGTTACTAAAAATACTATATATTACCAACAAATGTACTTATGTTTATTTATGGTTAAACTCTCTCTTAAATTCTGGTTCATAAATTTATCATTTCTAAAAATGTACAAAATGACTTTAATAAAAAAAATTTTAGTAGCTAACACGAAAATGATGATCGAATGTAAATATACGAATGCAAATTATAATAAATCATTAAATCTACTAAAAATCACTGAACTTTCCGACAAATCAGGAATATTTGAATTAATACGATTTATTTAAATAATGATTTTAAAAATAACTTGACGGATCACCAACATTTTGTCAACTAGACAAATCTAGACCACAGACAGTCCAGTTAACATGTCATCTTCATATAGAAATCAGGTGTTTACATTGTGTCTTTACTACATTGTACAGGAAAAATTCATTATTTTCTTTTGATTTTTTTTCTTCGGATACTTGTACGGGGTGGTCGAAATTGGTCTGTTTTAACAGCGAAAACCGACATTGATGTCATGGGCTCGATTTTTGAGTAACATTTTAATGGCGTAAACTGCCTCTTGATATTTTCATTGCCAACCGAGATAGAGGATCTTTTTGAATTTTTTACCATTTAGAAAATTGTCCATAACTTTTGTATTTCGCGGAAAATAAAATTCTGTAAAAACGTTCTTAAGGCATTTTTTTCAGTGGCGCGTAGTCAGTTTTTTTCTATACTTGCTCTTTGTGTCAGAAATAATAAAAAATATAATTTTTTAAATAGAAATCATAGTTCGCTATGAACTTAAAAAAATGCTGGCGTTTATCCCTTTCCAACGATATAAAGTTATGTGTATTTATTTCTAAAAATGAAAGAAATATTAGTTTTTTTATCTTTGTATCGAACCTTGATTTGTGTCGACCTGGTTGCATCATTATTTTTTATCACAATTTAATATTCTATATTATTATTTATCTGCATAATTAAAGACTTTTTAAAAGTAAATCAACATTCTATATTAGTATAACCATTTACAATAATTAAAACGCCAGGATTACAACTGCACTATTAAATGGAGAATTTAGAGAGAATTGGATTGGAACAAGGGGTCCCATATCTTGGCCTGCTAGGTCCTGTAATGTAACTCCTTTCGACTTTTTTATGGGGAAAATTAAAAGAACTTATACAGTGTGACCCACTCAAGACCGGGCACTCTCCATAAAATCTGTGTTTATAGTCCGATTTTGATGATTTTTTATTCAAATATAAAGTTTTAAAAAATGTACTTTAGGGCTCAATGTCATGTTATTTCACAAAAAAACAAGGCCTACTTAATAAAGTTTTTGTGGTGAAAAATTTGCAAAATCATATTAGCGATTTTTTTCAAAAAAATTGAGTACACCCCTACATTCGGCATCCCCCAAAACAGTTCTGTACCAAATTTCGTTTAAAAATATTAATTATTAATAATTCTGCAGTTAAATTAAATAATTCCCTATTTTTGCCAATTTAACGATGAGTTATCACGTAACCCTTGAAAAAAACAATCCACAACAATGGGTTTTATTAGCTGTCAATTCTTGCAGCGTAGAATTGAATATTAATTTAATAGCACGCAGAAAAGTGTTGTATCAAGAAATATTATTTGCATTATGGAACAATTAAATATTAGGGATAAAATTGAAATGATTCGTTTAGTGGGTGATAACTATCTTCAAGCAGGAGAAGCTGCCAGAGAATTTAACAACAGACATCCCGACAGACCTGCAGTAAGTAGAAGCACGGTTCAACGAATAAATAGAGTTTTTAATGAAACTGGTTGTGTGTCAAAATACTTACTAAAAAACAGAAGGCCGGAACATTGAATAAATAGGCGGAATGAGGAAATATTAGAATATTTTCGTAACAATCCTCGTGCAAGCATTAGAGGCGCCAGTGTTGATTTGGATATACCAAGGGAAAATATTAGGAGATGTTTGCGAACTAATAAAGTTAAACCCTTTAAACCAAAGATTTTACACACTTTGGAAAAGGAGATGATGTTAGACGATTAGAATTCTGCTTATGGGCTCAAGCAGAGTATTTAAATAATAGAAATTTCTTAAAAGAAATTTTATTTAGTGATGAGGCAACATTTAGTACAAACGGAGTAGTATCCTCTCAAAATTCGCGATTCTGGGCAGTCGAAAACCCTGAATGGGTGATCAATACAAGAAGACAGTATTCTCAGAAATTAAATGTGTGGTGTGGCATACTTGATGATAGAATCATTGGTCCATATTTTTTTGAGAGAAATTTGAATAGTCCAACGTTTTTGAATTTTCTGATTAATGACTTTTGGGATGCAATACATAATTTACCATGCCAAACCCGTTTGAATTTAAAATTTCAATTGGACGGATCACCTGTGCATAACGCGGCAGTTGTCAGGGAATGGTTAAATGAAAATTTTGAAAATAAGTGGATGGGTCAGGAAATAGCCTCGCTAATTGAGTGGCCACCGAGATCCCCGGACCTAAAACCCCTTGATTTCTTTCTTTGGGGTTTCTTAAAATAACAAGTTTACAAGTCTTAGACTTCAATCTGTAGATGAATTACGTATTAGAATTAGAGAGGCTTCTGCAAATATTACACCACAGCAGCTTAGGAATATAACTGTTAATCTAAGAAGAAAAGATGCGACAAATGTATTGAACTGAATGGAGGGCTGGTAGAAGCAACTAGAATTATTTGAATATGTTTAACTTATTATTCGGTTATTGTGTTGCTTGTAGTATTTTTTATCATTGTTTGTAATAAAACTCGTTGTCGTGGATTGTTTTTTTTCAAGGGTTACTTGATAACTCATCGTTAAATTGGCAAAAATAGGGAATTATTTAATTTAACTGCAGAATTATTAATAATTAATATTTTTAAACGAAATTTGGTACAGAACTGTTTTGGGGGATGCCGAATGTAGGGGTGTACTCAAATTTTTTGAAAAAAAAATCGCTAATATGATTTTGCAAATTTTTCACCACAAAAACTTTATTAAGTAATAGGCCTTGTTTTTTGTGAAATAACATGACATTGAGCCCTAAAGTACATTTTTTGAAACTTTATATTTGAAAAAAAAATCATCAAAATCGGACTATAAACACAGATTTTATGGAGGGTGCCCGGTCTTGAGTGGGTCACACTGTATATAAGGGAAGAACCATTGGGACAAAAAAAGGAATTACAGAAGGCTACTAGGCAAGATTTTGGACTTATTACACCAGTTCGCCTAATAAATCGTTGTAACTCTGTGCGCAAAGATGTTTATTGTGTATTCAACAAGGAGGTGCTCAGTTTGAACATCTTTGATGATTTTTTTTAGAAAACTATATTCGTCACTCAAAAAATACGTTTTTTTAGTTTTGTTCTTTGTTTATTGGATCGATTTCAATTGTAATTACTAATACTAATATAGAATGTTAATTTACCTTTACGAAAGTCTTTAATTATGCAAATAAATAATAAAATAGAATATTAAATTGTGATAATAAATAATTAGGTAAATAGGTCAACACAAAATCACGGCCTGCTTCGATATAAAGATAAAAAACCCCTAATATTTCTCTCATTCTTAGAAATAGATATCTTTAACTTTATATCGTTGGAAAAGGTTAAACGCCAGCATTTTTTAAGTTCATAGCCAACTATAATTTCCGTTTAAAAAATGATATTTTTCATTTATTTTTCATAGAAAAAACTGCCGCTACGCCACTGGATTGTGCATGGTTAAAAAAGTGACTTAAGAATGTTTTGACAGAATTTTATTATTCCGCGAAACACTAATGTTATGGGCAATTTTCTAAATGGTAAAAAATTCAAAAAGACCCGGTATCTCAGTTGGCAGTGAAAATATCAATAGGCGGTTTAAGCCATTAAACGTGTCTCAGAAATCGAGCCCACGACATCTACTATGTCGGTTTTGCTCTATCTAGTCAGGAGATTTTCTCTATTAAAACAGACCAATTTGGACCACCCTGTATTGGAGGGAGGAAGTTGAGCACCGCGACTTTACAGATCTTTTCTCTTGGTGAGCTGGCACTTGGCTGGCACCCAGAGTAGGAGGACTTTATTCTCTTTACCCAATTTTGTTTCATATGCTTTTTTAGTGATAATAATTTTATTCCACAATAAATTACCCTCAAACCACAATTGATACTTCTTTTGCTATTGCTACACTGTTGATGAATAATATTTGAAATTGCTATGGAACTCTATCAAAGTTCTTGTTTTTTTTTTGTTATTATCGATTTAGGTGAAGTTATTTTTTTATATTTCAGTTGTTGTTTGGCTTGCTGCTGTTCGCCAGTGTCATGGGACATGTTGCCAACATCGTGACATCAGTATCTGCAGCTAGAAAGGAGTTTCAGGGTAAGTGATAGAATAATAGCTAATCATTGACAAAATAAATTTTGTACATCGTTCATATTTAGTAGTGAAGACTTAATATCTTTACTGTACTACATTTTCAGAGCTATTTACTGCGATACCTGTACAGGTCAACGATCAAATCCATTATTTCATTTGTTATTACATAAAATTGTTACATACCTAAAATTAATAGATTTTATAATACTTCAATTTGTTTAAAAAAAAATCAAAATTTAAGTGAGAATGCAGTCAATAATCACCACATAGGCTAATAAAACTGCTTTTTCAAATTTGTCAAGTTTTCGAGAATTTTATTCCCATCATCAGGACAGTTTGCCTGAGTCAATTAGCAAAAAAAACATCCTCTGAAACAACAACTGTCCTGATGATGGGAAGAAAATTCTCGAAAGCTTGACAAATTTGAAAAAGTAGTTTTATTAGCCTATGTGGTAATTACTGACTGCATCCTCACTTAAATTTTTGAGTTTTTTTCTTAACTCAGTTAGTCACGACTAACCTGCTATTTTTGTTTAAAAATATATCATATTTTAATATGGTAAAAAATTATCGGTGACTCTATTGTTGCTGAAGTTGGAGTACTTAAATTTAGTAGGAGAGTTTTATAGAAATGAGGAAAAAGATATATGTAAAGATTATTGCGTTAGATGCTACAAGGTGCTTAAAATAGATTCATGAATTTCGACTATTTAAAATTAAAAAATCTCAAATTATTTAAATACCACACCCTATATATTATCCGTTTTTCTGATAGATTTTGCAAAATTGTTCGTTGTATTTTTGAAGTCTATTTATGATCAAGAGGCTAACGAAAGATAACAGAGGAGGATGGCCGATTCACCATCCACCGCCGCCGCAGGAAGTGACGTCATGTATTAGTCATCAGCTAGAAACATGTAAAATAGGCTAATAAACAAGAATAAACAGGTTTGAACCGCTTTGAACCGCTTTAAAACAGAAATAAACGGGTATGAACAAAAAATGAACAGTATCTGCAGTTGTTTTTAAGCTAAAAAGCGGTTCAAAGCTGTTCAAAAGCGGTTCAAACCTGTTTATTCTTGTTTATTAGCCTATTTTACATGTTCCTAGCTGATGACTAACACATGACGTCACTTCCTGCGGCGGCGGTGGATGGTGAATCGGCCATCCCCCTCTACTAAAGATATCTGGACAAATATAATGTATTCAACTAGAGCTATTTCAAGGAGACTGACAAGTGCGTACTTGTTTTATTCTACTAAATCGATACATTTATTTCTATTTAGATGTGGAATTTTATTTAAACACACTGTTTACTACCAACTAATACTGAATGGAAGTTCAAATTACAAAGAATATTGTATCATAACCTCACAAGTTATGATTTTAAAATGTATGTAGAAATATGCAGGGTGTCAAAAAAATAGTATATCTAACTTCGGTTGGTGATTCTGCAGATATAATAAATAAAACAAAAAGTTTCTATGAACATATCGTCCTATTGCTGCCAAAAGTCACTAACAAACATTTTCCGAACAACCAAAAATTCAATCACTAACTATATTTTGAAGCGGAGAATCGATTGAAAAAGTCATTAGCTACGATTTCTGGCTATTTATGTTTTATTGTGATACCGAATAGTTACTAACTTTATATAAGAGTTTCTTGCCTTGAACTGCTAATATAGAAATTAATTCCACGCTGTGTTCGACATAATGTGGATCAACCTGTTCTCACTACCGGTTTCGGGGCCCTACCCCATCATTAGGTGAGCTTGGGTCGTTTCCACACTATGTTGAGCACAGCGCAGAATATATAAACACGATTTGTCGTAAAGTAGCGGTAAGATATTAAGTCCCGCATCGCGAGATAGCGGCCTGCGTGCAATGGTAGTACTTTCGTATCACTTATTACATAGTTACTAACTATAACATCTTTATGCAATGCAATTCATTTTTAGACGCGTTTTTCTCGGAAGTAACAAAAAGTAAGTTAGTGACTTTTGGCAGCAATGGGACGATCTGCACTAAAATGCTTCCCGAAGAAGTTACAGCCCTCGAAAGGTTAAATAAAAATAATATATTTTGTTTATTTTTAAGAACATTGGTAAACCGTTTTTCTTGAAATTTGGTACTCTTAACCATATTTTAATGCCAAAGCGAATGACGATGGTGAAAGTCCTGTACACCACCAGAGATAGTAGAGGTGGCCAAAATAACTTCAAATTAAAGTCTTGGACAAAAGTCTAAGGATCATTACATGTCTGCCTATACTCGTAAAAACTTTCTAGACTGGAGGATTACTAAAGGCATAAATTCTTAACTTTAAATAAAACACAAATTACCAACTTTAGTTACACAAAACAACAAAAAGTCTCTCTCCAGCAACTGTACTCAACTAAAGTTGGTAGAAGTATGTGTATTTTATTGCGAAAAACATGAAGCAGCATCAACAAAATTCAAATACATAATTATATAACGATAAATAAAACACAAATTACCAACTTTAGTTACACAAAACAACAAAAAGTCAGCTGCCGGTGGTACGATCTATCATTTTTCAACAAATTTATTTTATTAAAGGTGGTAGAAAAAAGTACTAATATACAGGTATGTCGTATGCCCCTAAAACATGAATGCGATAATTAATAGTAAGATTAACATTAAAAATACAAATTCAAACTCTCCTCATAATTATTATAATGGCCGTGGACAAAGTAAAGTATTCAACTCGCAATTTATAGCCATTATTCACTCGGGTGACTTGCGCCCTTTACCTACGGCTTGTGACGCAAATGTCACCCTGCGTGAATAATGGCTTGCATAAATTGCTCGTTCAATAATATAATATATTTCTTCTCGCACGTTTTTTAATTGTTTCCATTTTTAGATTGGATATGGCGTTTGTCGCCTCAGCCTGAATATTTGTTGATAATTTACTTATTTCGTTTTGAGCCATTTCTGGCTTCAATTCGATCAGCAATCGACACGAAAGAACATTAAAAAACATTGACTCAAAACTGACAACTGAAGAGACAGCTTTATTCATTTGTCAAATTACATAGAAACCAACGCCAATACAGCACAATATTTTTTCTACTTCTAATAAATTCCTTGAAATATTAATTTCTGGATATTTTTTAAAACGTAACTTGCTATGGAAAAAAATATTGTTTTATACACGACGATAAAATTGCATTATCGTCTCCCGAAATTAATTCATCGCTCGTGAATTAATCTTTTTCGTCGACGATATAATACCATTTTATCGTCTTGTATAAAAAATATCTGTTTAACATCCTGTATATTTTCTTTTCAATATAACACCAAAATGGAGAAATATTATTACGTAACAGACGCAAGATCAAAGATAAAACACTTTAACCGTAAATCAAATTGCCCGATCAATTGCACAAACGATTTATAATATCAAGATTTATGCTTTTCATGGCAAAATTCGAACGAAAAAGAATTTTTGCATCGGTAACGATACAATGGATCCTTGTTGGAATTTTTGCAAAGATTTCCCGAATTTAAGAATCCCACACAAAAGACTACTTTACTTCAAAGGGACTTGAACCCCCTTGTACGGCAATTCTTAAGCGAAGTTTTTGAACTGCAACCAAACTTAGCTTATCGTATTATATTATTTGAATTATTCTTATTTGAACCGTGTAATATTCGGAGTATTATTCGGTATAAGTCAGTAAAATATCGACACTGAGTGATTTATTTTTTAATTATTACTCTTCCTACAATCTCTAGAAAGCACAGGGTGGCCCATTTTCGTTTGTTTTACAGGGTTTCTAGTTTATGAATAGATACAAAGATGCGGTTTTCACATCACTATGCTACTTTTTGTGAAATAAAAGATGCTACTCATTGTCATAAACACCATTTATTGGAATATCGAAAGTCAGATCATGTCTTATTCAGGGTGTTTCAGAATACATGTGCCATTTCTCGTAAAATAAGTCGAAACAGATTTAATTGCTCTTTCTAACTATATTATGGTTTCCATACCTGTCTGGTTCAGATTTTGAATAAAAAGTGATTTTTTAATAAAATGGCAATCAAGATGGCTGGTGTCGCCATGGCAATTTGCTAGTAACAGTTAGTAGCTATTTTTAAAATCGACATTAGTTTATTGACTTTATTTAAATTTATAACAGTTTACTTTTATTTAATTTACCTACTATAGTTTAATAAGTAAGTATTTATTATTTTATCAAGAAAAATAAAGAAGTAGTTCTTTGATTTATATTACGATGACTTAAAATTAATAGTACCTAAATAAAAATAATTTCATATTGGATTTTCTATAAAAGAATCAATTAAGGCAAATTAATTTTCTTCAACCTAACCAACGACAGGTTTTTGCCTAATAAAGGTTTTTCATATACATATCAGCTCTTCGAAATAGGAAAAGTAGTTTTTCAAAGGAACGCTTGTCAAGAAGATTCCTATTTGGATATCTTTGAGCATAAACCCTTCAGGCCAACAAGCAATTGTCCTCACAAAATCACTAGAGTAAACGCCACGAATGTTTGGGAGTGATTTATCGCTTGATGAAATTAGAATCGACACGCGCGCTCTCATTTTTACATTAAAAACGTAAATTTTTACCGCAGACGTAGGTTTTTAAAGGCCCGGTTTAATCATCTGCCTGCGCTCCTCCTACTTATTCTAAAATGTTAGCGTGATTGACAAAGACGATACTATATCGCGTTTCTTTGATTGATTCGTTTTTGTGCGTCAGTCCATTGGTGTGCTTGCAGTGCGACCAATGGGGCATTCCATTTTATATTTATAACCAAATATATGTTTTGACAAGACTGACAGTTAAAACAACAAAAAAAAATAAAATTTATTTTTCATATCAACATAGGTCCGATTCTGCTTTGTTTCGTAGTTGCAGGGTGTTAAAATCTTAATAGTTTTTAGAAGAAATCGAAAGTTTTTTTAAAAAAAAAATTTTTAAAAAAAACGTAATTTTCTTATTAA